AACCCAGATCCAAAAATTGAAATTTAAGACAACCTCACAAGAAAAAATGTAAAGAACAAATCACTGATCAATAAATTGAAATTCGAGACACAATGTTCTCAAACGAAAATAACCCAGATCAAGAAATTGAAATTTAAGACACCCCACAAGATAAAAACAGCAAGATTTCAAACAGCAGTAAAATGCAAAACCGAAATAGAAGAAGAAAATTAAGGAGGAAATTTTAGACTGACTGGAGATTAAAAAAAAAACATAAAATGTTAACAAACAACATTAACAAGCGAGTTCAGATAAAAAAATGAAATTTAAATGGACAACTCTCACAAGATAAACGCTAATGTTTGCAAAAATACCTGCATTTTCAAGTTCAGGGTCTGCAACAACATTTTCTCCAAGCTTTATTCCTGGAAGATATTTAACATTCTCCTATGTAAGAAGACATTTATAACAGAAAAATTGCAACAATTAATACAAGAACGAGAGGCAAGAAAAATAATAACACACAACATTGAGAATTTAAAAAAATTACATTGGTTCGATTTGACTTCCTAGAGTTTTTCTCCCATAGGCAGTGTCTTGGCAAAGTCTTTAGAAATCAGATTTCCAGTTAAGGTTTAATAGAATAGAGAGATTTTTTGGTGAAGATGTTGCCAGTTGGAGTCTTTAGGAAAAGACAGTGGTTTCTTTGAATCTTTCTTATCAGCTCATTGCTCAACATTTTTTTTTAAGGGATTTAAGGGTTTTGGGTTAGGACAGGTGTTGGACTTTCTTTTTTTTTCAGAGGCCCCTTAAAATCTGAGGCCCAAGGCAGTGGCCTTGCTTGCCTTGGGCCAGGGCCGGCCATGGATATACCCCATTTTAAAGTGGATTTAATTTTCAGCTAAATTATTTGAGGAAATCTTTAACAAAATGCCCATCTCAAGTCACTCAGCCCCATAAGAGATTTTAGATTAAGGACGACAATGGATCGGAGCCATTATAAAATTCTTGTTCCATTCCAGATTTTCAGAAAGTAGGGTAGGACGACACTCAAAAAAATATCATTTTCCATTTCATTTAATTAATTTTAATTTTAATTTTTATTTTTTGAATATGATTTAAATGAAAAACATAAAAATATAATATAATATAATAACGAAAAAAGATTTGGAGCAAGTTCAAAAAATTCAAAACTAGGGACTATGGGTTCTATGTCCCACCTCATTTACTATTCAAGGTAGGACAATGCATGATGGGATACGAGGCGGATTAAAGGTTGGAAATTCTGCAATAATTATTCGGGATGGGGTTAGGAAACATGATCTCCATTACAAACCCGTCCACGACTCATAATTATTTTAATTTTTTTTGTTAAGAGATAAAAATCCCACATCGAATGACGATAAAATTATAGACCAATTTATAAAGTGTGTGTGCTACTTCTCTTAACAAGGTTGACCTTTTAAGATGGAACATCAAATCTTAATATGGTATCAGAGCACATTAAGCTCTAACAAGCGATTCGATCCGATTAAGACTCAAAAAATGAATATACAGGTTTCAAAATTGGTCTGCACAAAAAAGAGCTATCATCTTGCGAGGCATGTTAATGAATAAAAATCCCACATTGAATAACGATGAAAGTATAAACCAACTTATAAGGTCTTGGGTCACTTCACTTAACAAGGTTGACATTTTAAGATGGAATCCAAGTCTTAACATTTTTTGAATATAATTTAAATTTAAACCCATAAAAATGCATAAATAAGTAAATGAATAATTCAATGGGACGAAAAATGAAGATTAAAATGTCCCACTGGCCTCCCGAAATTCAAGAAAGAGAAAAGTCCACCCTATCCCGTTGCCATCCAAAAAAACCTTTTTTAGAAGGAGCGAATTGGAGAAACAAAAAGATTTAAAAAAAGACTCTTTTACTTTTGTTTCTTCTATTGATATTTTTTAAAAAACGTTATTGTCTCTTCCTCAATCCCCATCCCACCTTCCCACTATTATTTGCCTCTTCGCATGTTAGAACTGCATTTCCCCTCTAAGTAACCCATTTATCATGTTAGACTATGTCTATCTTTGAATTTCCATTTTCTCAAAACTCATGTTCAACCACACATTCTTTCATAAAATAATATTACACGTAAATCAAAAAAATTTCCTTATTTTTTTAACCACACATTTTTAAAAAATCATTATTCCAAAATTTATTTTTTCCCCAAATTTCCATTAGAATAGAGCCTAAACAAGGGATATATCTATTTTAACTTATTAAAGTGCTTTTAATGTATCAAGTTTATTGTTAACTAATTACTGGTAAACAAGGACAAAGTAAAAGGTAAAACATGATTTGAGAATTGAACATCAAAATCCATTAAAGAGAAATTTTGCTCCGACAAAGTCTATTAGTTGATTAGAATGCTTTGTGCTTGGGAGAATTTATAAATTATTGAAACTATAAATTGTAGAAATGACTGTGCAAGTAAATTGATAGTAGTAGTTGATCATACGAAATGCATAACTAGAATTAAAATTTGATTTTGATCAAGAATATATTTTAAGCCGCACAAACAATTTATCTTCATTACTCAACTTCGACTTAATATACATTGTAATGATAAAAGATTTGTCTCATCGTGACTCTTTATAAGAAAAATATCTCCTTTGAAACTTCTTTCCAAAAACATCTAACTTACAAATAAATATTTTGTCCTCATTCGAGAGGAGAAAATGAATAACAACTTAGTCAAAAGGAATAACACAAAACGAAATTGAAAAGTTGAAAATATAAATTAAATAGGAGTTTGCTATAAAAATAATAATTTGTCACATGCTAGTCGTCTTCTCAACAAAATAGAAAATGACTTGGAGAGTGATGGGGGCCACAACTTGCTTAAATCAACCTATATTTCTTTTGCAATTGGAGGCAATGACCTAACCAAGACTCAATAAAATTGAAATTAATTGGAGCCATCATGGTATTCAATTTGCACTTCCGTTTTCAATATTTGTTTCTTGTTTTTCCAATCTTTACAAAATGACTATTCATTGACATTAATTTTCGAATTTCAAAAGTTAAAAACAATAAAGTTGATGTAAGGGTGCGTTTGATTACAAGTAGGAAAATTACATGGAAAGAAAATGAATTCCAAGGAATTGAATTACCTAGAAATTGTTTTCATGGAAATTGTAAATTATTGTGTTTGATTGTATAAATTTTTCACGTGGAAAATGTTGAAGTAAAAGTATTTTTTGATGTTCGTTTGACTTTGTTTTACGTGGAAATTGTCAATTTCAGGGATATCATCTTTTACAATTATTCCTAAAATTTGTTCACATTGCCAACAATTAAAAAAAAAATAAAAAAAGCAAAAAAATAAAATAAAAAAAAGGTGGAAAACCAAAAACCACCTATTCCCTAGGAAAAAAAAAGATGGAAAATCACGCTTTAAGGTGTTGTACCTAGAAATTCGTGAAAAATCAATTCCCTGGAAAATTTTGTCAATCAAACAGGCCAAAAGTGGAAGTTGGAATTCGAATTCCAAGTTCCATGGAAAATTTCGTGCAATCAAACGGGGCCTAAAGGACTATTTTGGCCCACTGCGTTCCATCTGTTTCTCGACATTCATACTGGATAGTGAGTGTCGTTAGAGACTTAGGCGTCAATGTATGAAAGGTTGCAAATATTATGTGAGGAAACAAAGCTTAAAGATGAAATTGCAAGCGAAATATAAGTTGACGAATATTGTGACAATTTAACATTTTTATTATACATTTATGAGATTCAATAATTTTTTATCAATTTTTCAATCACACGTTTCATCAAATTTTATTAAAATTCACTAGAAAAAATTTTATCGAAGTTTTTATCAAACAATCTGGAGGGCAGAAGACTAAGAAATATTAATATGTTGCTTCTGAAGTCTAAACAAACCTTTGTGATTAATAAATTTTGCCTATGTTTGACAAATGTTTATGAACTATATATAAACAGTCATATCACTTTTTATCTACATATTTTGTTTGTAATACCACTTGTTCATTATTCATTTCTATATATTTATCGATTAACCTGTTTATCAACACTTCCAAAATAAGAATCATATGATTTCTTTCGTATATTTTGAAAATAATTAATTACTTAACTGATTAGAGCTTTCCGTGGTGCCAAAATTCAGTTTATTTTGCACTAAGCAGAGTTGTCATGATTTGGACATGCTGTTATTGCACGATACTATGACTATATAAGAAAATTTTTCTAGTAATCTTCTAACTACCCTTAATTGAACAATTCATTTTTATTTTAAACGTATATAGTACATATTATTATTATTTTATTTTAATTAGAACAACCTTATTATTATTAATAAAATATTAACAAGTTGAATTACAAAAAGAATTTTAAAAGAAATATTGCACCAAGGAGAAAAAAATCAAGTTGACTTTGATCAAAATTGAACCATTCAAACTAAATGCAATAAACGAGACACCAATACCTAAAAAGATAAAAAAAAAAATTATTTTACGGGCCATTTAACTTAGCTCGATTCTTGCTCAAGAGCTTTTTGCTAACGTTACTTTAGATGAATTTCCTCTAAAAATTCTTCTAGTTTCAGTAAATTATTTGAACATGTTCAAAATAAATTTTTAATTTCATAAGCAGTTTTTGACTTTTCAAAAGCCTACCAAACAACCCTTGTTACTTTTCGGTCTTAAAACTTTCAAAGAGAAGGACTTTATTTGTAAATATTTGAAAAGAATTTATAATTACTACACAGTTGAAGCAAGCCTCCATCTACTAGCATTAGAGAAAAATATTTCTCCTCGAAGAAAATATTGCACAAACTCGATAAAAGTAATACGGAGACCATGAATTTTTAATATCCACAACATATAATTCCATTTTTAATTCCATTGATAAGAAATATTTGCAAGGCTGCTAGAAAAAGTAGATAAGTACACGTTAGTTAGTTGACTTTGATCTTAACATATACAGATCTCAAGGGGGCATTCGCATAATACATTAATCAAACCCCAAAAATACAAAATGAAGGAAGGTGGGGAAGGCAGCAATAGTAGAGCAGCAGCCGATGAGAACTTCCTCGAGTACGGTGGCTGCTACCACCACCACCGCCGCCAGTTCTCCACCGTAGTTCTTAGAATCATGGTGTTGTTTGTGGTGGTTGGTCTTTCATGCTTTGTTCTTTATCATTCTGCTTATCCTACCCAATTTTTTCAGAGCTTTTATAATCCTATTTCCGTTTCTGAAGAAAATTTCAAACCACGTGATGACATGCAAGGCAATTTGTCTTCTTTATCTAATGACACAAAACGGGCAAACTTATCTTCTCCATTTCAAGACTTTCCTTCAGGAAATCTATCTTCTTTGGTAAGTTACTCATCTTCCTTAGTTTTCTTTTATTATTACTTATCGGAGATGTGGAAGGTAAATCATAAATAAATAAAATTTCTATTATAGTATAATTAGACAAGTGGTTCAACATTGAATTACTACGTGGCTCTTGTGGTTGCATCTTAAAATTAACGTTAACCTTGTCAAGATGAGTGACGCAAACCCTTACATGTTGAGATGTAAAATTTTTACTTTTAACACGCAGTCATAAAAAGATGGGTCGTTTAAGAATACCTATTGAACTAGACTACTCATTTGAATGTTGAACTTTAGACGGCTGAAAATTGCTAATTTGAATTTTCTGGAGTATGACACATGCATTTGTATTAAGTCTTGAATTTCACTTTAAAATGTCAATGCTATTAAGACGAATAGATTGAACCATTCTATATTGATTGTGTTATTAAGACGAATATTATATTATTTTGACTAAAGTAATGTTCTTATAAGGCGCAGTCCTAATCAATTTTTCGTTTTCTTAATCTGCAGTCAGCCTCACATATATGTATGATCGGTACACATATATTTTACCAATTTAGCTTTTATTTGAAGGTTTCATAGTTTGACTACTCAAGTGGCATGTGTTTGAAAATTCAATTTACTAATTAGGTAGGACCAGCGTTCTAAATAACTCCTCTAGATGGCACCTAGCTTAAGCTTGAAGTTTGGGCAAAACGCCACGCTTCATCCTTAGATGCTTTTTTTGCAATTCTTAAATGGTTAAATTTTTTCCTTCCTCTCTTCCGTCCTCCTAGGTGCACTTTATTAGTTTTTCCCCCCTTTCCTAAAAAGTCTTTTATTCGACTTTAACTTATTAATTTCTTTTTATTTTCAAAGATACTTTTCATTTGACTTTAATTTCAATTTTTTAAAAGATTTTATTTGTACAAAAGATAAAAATGACTTTATCTAAATAGTTACATAAGATTTAAGTTATGGTATTATTTACATTATCTGATTATGAACTTGAAACTTGTTATTTTGTTGAAAATTCACAAAGTATGTATGAAGTTTCTATAAATCCATTAAGTAGGATTTTTTCTAATTGAAAATTAAAATTATGAAAAAAAATTTAATTTTTACATTTCAAAAACTTAAAAATTGTATAATTGATTAATGCTAGGAATTATTAAATAAATAGAGTATTTTATTATTCTAGATGTTTGACATGTATTATTTTAATTATTAAATGAATTTTAATATTTTTAAAAATTTAAAATAATACTAAAAACAAGAAAACATCTTTTTATGTCTAAATTTCGCCTAGGCTCGCTTAATCTCGTAAAGCTTGAAACTTCACTCCCACATCTAATCATACTTTACGTTTTCTTAGAACACTGGATAAGACTTTAGTAGAATTATTGGTATATTGATATTTTTTTTTAATTCAATTTATCTGGAATTTCTTTAGGAAGTTTAATGAAAGTAAAAATTTATTGTTTGTCCACATCAACTCATATAAAAATTAAGAAAAAAGTTTTACAATCAATTTCCCTTCCATATCCCAATTTATCAGCCAAATGATTTATATCAATCTTATTGGTCATGTGAACTCTCTCCAAAGAGAAGATAATAACATATTATTATTCAACTTCTCTCTATTTGTCACATAAATTAATTCCTTGCAATTAATGTTTGATTTTAGTATTCCTACTGCAGAGGCGGAGATAGAGGGGGCCATTGCTAGGCTGTATCCCAACATTGTCCTCCTAACCCATATAAATATTTAAGAAGAACTGTAGACTTTTGGCCCAAATATTAATATTAGTCCAGCTCTAGTTTAAATTTCAATCCAACTCTAATGTTCAATTATTCAAATTGTATTAAAGACACTACAATTTTTAATTACTCTTTTCATGTCATTCATGAAATGTGAATATTTTATTGTCAAATTAGATATTCTATTTAATACATGTTTGACTAAAATTCACTTATAATTATTAAGTAAATTTTATTATAGATAATTTGTATTGATTAGATCTAAAATTAAATTACTTATTTTAATAGATAGAGACACTACATATTTTTCTAAATTTAAAAGTAATTAATTTTTTTATTACTGCGTTTGTTTTTATTTATTACTAATTCATATTTATAAAAAAATTAATTATTTTGACCATAAAATAGATATTATGATCAAAATAAATAACTTACTATAGATTTGATATCGACGATAAAATGAATATTTGTGAAAACTTTCAGTTGTTTGGAAAGATTGATTGTCTAAGTTACTAGAAGAATGCTCATTGAGTAATTTTCTAAATTTTCGTTGGTGGATATGTATTTTTGTTTATTTCTATTATAATTCGGTTAGTTTATATTTTTTAAGGTAAGTGTTATTTTTTATTTGGTAAAAAAAATACAAAGATTTAGTGGAATATCTTAATGTGAAATATCTAAACTTTTTTTTTTTTAATAATTTCATTCAGTGTCGTATACTTTTTATTGTGAAAATAGCCACCGAAACTCGATTCTTGTGGCGTCAGTTCATTAAAAAAAATTTAAGTTTCAACCCATATTAATATCATTTTTTGGCTCTGCCTCTAATTCCTAGTCACTTCCTTTGACTAATTTATTATATTGATAATTTTATCTGTCTCCAGACTGGACTATATGTGTGGTACTCATTAATTAATGATCTTCTAAAACCTTAAATAACCTTTATTTAGCAATCATCTCTCCTCGAGTAATTGACGTAACACCTGCCCTCTCTAATAATTAGTATGAATTTTATTTGGTTGGCACAAGCCACATTTTTTCTTTTCTATTTTTTTTTTTTAAAGTATAATGCGTAAAACATATCTATATTGATTTGCAAGGTAAAAAGAATTAGAGAAGATTTCAATCAGGTTCCTAACTTGTCGAACTAGCTGTAGGTTGGGCCCCTTTTAAAATATTGAAAATTGGTCTTTAGTAATTTATAATAGTTATTCAATCAATCTACAACGATCGATTGTGACCGTCCAAATTCGTGTAAAGTTGTCACATGATCCTAGTATGTGTAATATTACGTAGGAGTTCACTTCAAAATTTTGATACTACATATTCAAGTCTAATGAGTAGAGTTTATCATATTATTTAATTATTTCTTCTATTATTATTATTTAATTAATGTTGTGGTTGATTGCAGTAATTGTTCTTATTAACTAAAATTGTTTCACTCATGAAATAAAGAAAATATGATACTACGCATTAATATATAGCAAATGAGCAGGTTTATTATATTATTTAATTATTTATTTTACTATTATTTATTTAATTTTGTGGTTGATATCAATAATTGTTATTATTAATTAAAATAGTTCCACTTAAAGTAATGAAAGAAAATAGTTCCACACATGGTTACGATGTGAACTTCGTGGTGTCACCCATTTATAAATCCCGCATTAAAAAAAAATAAAAAAAATGCATGCATGATATAAAATGTGTTATAGGCTAAATTTAATGAATAAATATATTAAACTTTTAGATAGTGTGCTTAAATGCCATCATAAGAAATCTCTTATAAATAAGAGAATATTTCAATTAAATTAACTTGAGTTGGAGACCAAAGAACATGATTAAGCAACTTCATGTACTAGAGTTTTGTTTACCTCCTATAGTATTTTATTTTCACGCCGTACGTTTTAGGGCTTGTTTGAACTACATTAATTAAAAAAAAAAAAAATACATTCTTCAACAGTGATTTGACATCATTTTAACCACATATTTTTCAATAAAATAATATTACACACAAATTTAAAACTTTTCCTTATTTTTAATCACATATTTCTCATTAGTTTGACATGAATAATGTATTTTTTTTCTAGAATATAGCTCAAACATGGGCTTAATATATAAAACTTAGATTAAGAGCCTGTTTGAAAGTGATTTTGAGAATTGATTTTTTGTCCGTTAGAAAAAAAGTGGGGTCCATCTGTGAGAGAAGAATTCAAATATAACGGCTGAAATAATGAAATAACGGTAAAAAAATCACTCCCAAACAAGCTTTAACAATTTTTTTTCCCCTGCCCCCATAGCCATGTAGTTGCTTAATTTCTGTTTCACTTATTTCTAAATTTCACAATATTTTTTAGGGCGATGGTGAAAATAATTTGGAGAGGACATTAAACAAGGCTGCCATGAAGGACAAAACTGTAATTATCACCACCTTAAATGCAGCCTGGACAGAACCTAATTCGATATTTGATATTTTTCTTGAAAGCTTTAGAATTGGAAATCAAACACAAGATCTATTGAATCATGTAGTTTTTGTAGCTTTGGATGAAAAGGCATACTCTCGTTGCTTAGGGTTACGCCTACACTGCTATGCCCTCAGCACCGTCGGCATCGACTTCTCTGGCGAAGCTTTTTTTATGAGTGAAGATTATTTGAAAATGATGTGGAGGAGGATTGATTTTCTACGCGTTGTGCTTGAGATGGGATACAACTTTATTTTCACGGTAACATCTATACCTTAATCACCAGTTAAGCCCCGCCCCTATGTGGTGAAAGTTAATTTTAATCACATATTTTATGAGATTCACAACTTTTCAACAACACATTTCATCATCTTCTATCGAAATTTATTAAAAATCTGATTTTAATCCCAACCATGCAGGGGCTAAATTCAATTAGTATCACATTGACATATCTCTATTTCAACTTATATATTTGCATCGCTTAATTTCAATCTCTTTTATTTTCCAGGATGCCGATGTAATGTGGCTACGAAATCCATTTCATCGGTTCCATTCTGACGGGGATTTCCAAATAGCCTGCGATCACTACTGGTACAACTACACAGATTTGGACAATTCACCAAACGGAGGATTCAACTACGTCAAAGCAAACAACAAAACAATACAGTTTTACAAATATTGGTATGAAGCAAAAGACAAGTTCCCAGGAAAACACGATCAAGATGTTCTTAACTTCATCAAATACGATCCCTTCATTGAAAAGATTGGATTGCAAATTAGGTTTTTGGATACAGCTTATTTTGGAGGGTTTTGTGAACCTAGCAAAGATCTTAATCTGGTGTGCACAATGCATGCAAATTGTTGCATTGGTTTAGATAACAAGATTCACGATCTCAAAATGTTGATTGATGATTGGAAAAAATATATGGCACTGTCAGATACTAATAAGATTTTGGTGAAACCATCGTGGACAGTTCCACGGATTTGTGGGTAGTTAAATTTACTTAACTGGAAACAGTGAGAATTTTGAAGTTGTTTGTGTTTATTAACAGCTGATAATTAAGTGTAAATTTCTATTATGGATAATGTCATTTGACTCCTTTATAATGCATTTCTCTTAGCATAAAGCCAATGTAATTAGAGCAAGAAACATGTTTAACCTTTCCAGACAGGGCGACCGAAGTCTAACAGCCTCACCTCTCCTGCATTTTTCTTGTCTCTACTAAGGAACGTCAAGTTTTAATTTTTTCCTGTTTTTATTTATGGATAAATCACCAGATTCAGTCACCATGAATCCGATGAAATAGCACGTTAGTGTGATAAATTGCAGTTGGACGATGACGATGGACTGGTGGTTAAAATCGGCAGCAAAAATTCACGAAGGGAAGACAGAAGTGTCCACGTACTTGTTTTGGAAAGTATTGACAGACAGGGCGACCGAAGTCTAACAGCCTCACCTCTCCTGCATTTTTCTTGTCTCTACTAAGGAACGTCAAGTTTTAATTTTTTTCCTGTTTTTATTTATGGATAAATCACCAGATTCAGTCACCATGAATCCGATGAAATAGCACGTTAGTGTGATAAATTGCAGTTGGACGATGACGATGGACTGGTGGTTAATATCGGCAGCAAAAATTCACGAAGGGAAGACAGAAGTGTCCACGTACTTGTTTTGGAAAGTATTGGGCCATCAACAAGGGCGAATCCAGGGATAGATTTCAGCTAAGGCGGACCGCGAGCATTGAAAGCTTACTATCGATGACCAACGTCCGTGATAGCGATCTTATTTATTAATATTTAATTAAATAATATTCAAAAAACCGTATGGATTAGAACTAGAAGAACTAGATACACCACTAAAACTAGAACTAGGTACGAACTTTCATTTTGAATGAAAAAATCATTTCAGAATTTGCAAAATGCCCTAATTTATTTTTCAAATAAATAGACAATATATATTAACAAAATATCAATATTCAGTTTACATTTAATGTTAATTAAACAAGCATTATTATATTAGCAAAATTGAAATTATTTATTTGCTTATATCAACTTCATGTGCTTGTACGATTCCACTTTTTCGCAATTGATTTTTTTGTGAACGAAAAGTAGAACCTTTTATTAATTAAACAAGTTTTGTTGAAAGATTTCTTATGACACTAAAGCCAATTTTCCAACAAATTCATCCACTATTAATTGTCCAAACTCTTGAATCAATTGATTAGTGAGGAAAAAAAAATGAAAATGAAGAAGAAGAGCACCAATTAAAATGTTTCTACTTGCATTAAATCAATAAAATTGAACATATATTATTTTGTTACGTTATGTGCTAAAAATCAATAAATGTCATGATGGTGACCTTCAATTCAATAGTGGAAAGGTTAACCAGTTGAGCTACTAAAGATGTTTGTTGTTAATATGAATTATCAAATATATATATTCTAAAACTTTTATCTATTATAACTTTAAAAAAATAAATAAATAAATAAATAATCTTCTTGACGAATTCAGCTAGTGCGGCCTAGATCTGCCTGGCCATCAACTGGTAGGCAAAAGAAGTTCTAACAAACGTGGTTAATTTGGTGTGGCCTATGTTGCCAGCTATTTGGTTGGTGCAAAAGGATGCAAACTGTTAAGAATTGAGATTTCATTTTAAAATGTCAACATTTTTAAGATGAATAGCTCAAAACTTTATAAGTTGATTTGTGTTTCCATTTTTATTTAATGTGGGATTTTATCTCTTAGCATAAACAATATTTTCTGTTTCGTATTATTATTATTTTTTTTATTTTATTTTATTTTATTTTTTTTAGTTTTATTTTTTTTAACTCTCCCTTCTCATTTATTATTTGGGATAGAACGGGACAGAACAGATTCAGGGACGAAGAATTTTACCATTCTTAGGGACCTAACCTGACTTATTAATTACATTAGTTCATTTAATTTTGTGTGAACTATATTGGATTCTGATAAATGAGAAACTCCCATGCTATACCCCGCTGAAAGTGGGGTATTATAGGACTTTTATCTCTGGTTTTATTTATTATTATTATTTTTTTAAATGGTAACATACTTAGGAATTTTTTCTTTCCTCTTTATCCGAAAGGTAATATAAAATTTAAAATTGGTAATGTTTACATTGCATATGTTTAGGATCAGGGAATATATTTAATAAGGGATAATTGCAGTTGAGGCTCCAAACCTTTCAAATACTTGTAAACTTTCCTCTAACCTTTCAATCGTTGCAGCTAACTCTAAAATTTCAAACATTTGTGGTGGTTATCCTAATCAATTTGGAATAGTTACATCGGCTAGTTCTATTGCAGTGATGGTGGTTTTTTGTGGAATAGTTCTACCTGCCAACACGGATCGTTGAAGACACAGTAGCAATGATAGTGGTTTGTTGTGGTGGTGATGGGTTGGTTGGTGGAGCTAAGGCTGGGCAAATCTCTCGAATCGAACCGAATCCGAACCCGACTGTTCTTGTCAAATTAAATACCCGAACGGATATCTGAATTGAGAACCGACGGGTACGGTTCGGTTCTCGGTTAGACCAAGAACCGAAGAATCGAATAAGAGCAGAATCTTTCTAATTTTTTTTATATTGAGTAAATCAAATTATTTTAATTTTAATTTTTTCTAAGCAAATTAACAAATTAACAATTTCTAAATCCAAATTTTTGGCCCAATAATTTGTTTCATTTCTAATTTTTTAATTTTTGGCCTCATTACCCATTTTATTGTTTCATTTCTTAGTCCAACAAGATCCAATCCAATAAATAACTCTAAACACCTACATTAAAGTGTATAACGTTGTCTCGACTCTCGCACTCACTCTCGCAACCTCACTGACATTTCAAAACCTATACAATCATCGATCGATGCTATGACCTCCGATCGAAGCTACGAGCTCCGCCGATCGAAACTTTGACTGTAGCGATTATTTGAACAAGATAGTCTACTAGTCTATGGCATTCCAAAATCATTGAATGTATCATTAGTTGTATTTATATAATGTTGTTATAAATGTTAAAAAATTTAATTATAGTACAGAACCGAATGGAACTGAACTGAACCGAACCGAACCCGAACGGTTCCATAATTATATTTGGATCTGACGGTTCCATTTACTAGATACCTGAAAATTTTGGTTCGATTCGGTTCTAAAGAGAACCGAACCGACCCGCGCCCACCCCTAGGTGGAGCAGTGGCGTTGCAACGTGTGTGATTTTCGTTTTGATTTGGTTGGGGGGATTGGGAGAAGAAGATGAACTTAACTTTTCTTTTCTTTTATTTTTTGGTTTTTTAATTTAATTATTTCAATTGTTTAATTTGGTAAATAAAAAGCTAGTATTTACCGTTTTGAAGTTTAAAAAAAAAAAAAAGAAGAAGGTCGAACTCAATTTTTTTGGTCAACTAGTCGAAAATATGAATGGAATCCATCCATTTGAACCTCAATTGCTACGGTTTGAAAAGTTTGGGGTGAGGCTTGCAATGATTGAAAGGTTATGAAAAAGTAGTGACTCCTACTAACAAGGTCGGCCCTGGCCCAAGGCAGACTAGGCCACTGCCTTGGGCCTCACATTTCAAGGGGCCTCATAAAAAAAATAAAGAGGCTCAATTTCAACCTTTTCTATATCTTCTGGCTGCATTGGCTTGTTATCTTCTAGACTAGAGACTCCTGATGTGGTCATTGCCGATAGCTTTTGCTGATTTTCTGTACCTGATTCTAGATTTATCTAAATATCATAACCAAGTTATCAATGTTTACTGTTGACCCCAAAAAGTGCGCCAACAGATGCCGGTCCCACCTGAGCTTGCGTGGGCGAATGTTCAACACGCTAAGACACGTGGACGGTCTAAAACGAGCGGTTCAAAGGGGCGTGGGAGTAGCCCAATGACGCGGGACGGTGACGTTCGGAATCTGATTGGTTGTTCGTAATCCGATTGTACAATAATTACCAACCGGTGCTCGTAGATGTATATGTAAAAATGTATAAACTCGATTTGTGTATTGCAAGTAAATGAGAGAGAGTTGAGTAAAATGTAGTCTTTAGTATTGATTCTTGCATTAACCCTTTGATATTACACAAGGGAAGTATTTATAGTAGTGCATATGAAATGGGAGCCTTTGGATGAAGTGGTATGTGGCCTCATCTCTTTAGTTCAAACATCTTTTCCTAGATATGGGGCTTCACTTGCTAGCTTGCGACGCATTTATTGCTTGTGCAGGGCCTCCATGCTAATGACAAGACTTGACCTTTATGCTTATGACAAACGTTCCATCAATCATTCGAATAAGATCTGTGCAGGTGATCTGATGGGAGAAGTGACCATGGAGGATGTTTCCTTGTGATTCAAAGGCTCGCGCATCAGTTTCGGGGCTTCGGCCATTTGTCATTATACTTCCACTTGAGGGCCTCAGCTGCTCTCAACAGGTTCCAGCAGCTTGGCTTCGGTTCCTAGGCCTCAGTCAATGGGCCTCGGACAAAAAGGAGCCTCGGCAGATGGACTTCGGCTCGAACCAGTTCGGATGTAGCCCACCTCGGCATCGTGTGCCACCTCGACAAGAATGCCACGTGGATCGCCATGAGTGGGCCATTGTCCCAGGTGGGTTGGCCAGGTGTGACAACACGCAACAATAGTCCCCCAAGTCCAAGTATATTCATTTATGTAATGCATGGACTTTAATGGAGTAAAAATTGAAAGAATTTTTGAACCCCAAATAATAGTCCCCCAAGTCCAAGTATAGATATTTATATCATGGTTGGAGTTAGAGAAGTGTTGCTGTGGGTGAGCGATGAAGTAGGCGAGGTGTTGAACTTCTGAAGATGAAACCGAAGTGGTTGAGGAACCGAACCTGCGAGGCTTGTTGGAAGCCGAGGTGGTTGAGGAACCGAACTTGCGAGGCTTGTTGTTGAATGTTGAGGGGGGAGCAGAGGTGGTTGAGGAACCGAACCTGCGAGGTTTGTCGTTGAATGATGACGAGGAAGCCGAGGTGGTTGAGGAATCGAACCTGCGAGGCTTGTTGCTGAATGGTGAAGAAGAAGCCGAGGTGGTTGAGGAACCGAACCTGCGAGGCTTGATGGCTGAATGTAGAGATGAAGCCGAGGTCCAATGGTAATGA